CCCGGTTGAAAAGCTTTTTAGCACCTGAAAATGTTCCCTCGTCAGTAGAATTAGACCCATCGGACTGCCGTACAGTAACCACTGTGTTTTTAGCGTTGTAAAGTAACCTTTTTCATTGGTTGATGAAGAGCATGTCTGCTTGCGTCGAGTTGTTTTGTGCGGAAGATATACAGTAGCCACTAGATTTATTGAGACAGGAACAATCAAATTAACCATGTTGATTACGAGTCGATAATATTTTAAGAATGGATGATGAAACTTGATGACACACCATGAATGTGATTGACTTCGAGGATCATCAGTTAATTTTCGTATGAATAGCTCATGAACGAAAATAAGACAGATCATGATCAACAAAGAAGGAATGACACGTTTTGCCCATCGAACACTTTCCTTCTTTTTAAATAGAGTTCCCTTGAAAATGTTAACACTCCGTTCGACAGCTACACAAGTTGTCAACCAATCGAACAACGCAGGAAAGACGCTAAGTAAATATTCGAGACCAGCACAAGTGTAAAGAGCGAGTCTCTGATTTCTAATGGGATGAAGTTGCGTTGCTAAAATATAAACAAATCGACCTCCAAATGACAATAATCCACATTGGCCGACGATAGTTAGAAAGAACAGGAAAAAACCACATCCATATTCTCTCGTTTTTGGCTGATAAAATGTTATAAGAGACAATATATTCGATAAAAATCCGAATATAATCATTAAAATTACGACAGACAATGTAACTTTAAGTAAAATTGGCTGCTTTGTAATTGACACGTCCTCAATAATATCAGCACCTAACATTATATCTAGAGAGAGAACATACTGAGTCGTTCCTAGTTGACATAATGATCCGTAAGTACATTCTTTACAGACACAACTGAAATCCCATATACCTTTATACGAATGATAAACGCATCGTCCTTCATTTTGGCAGTAATCAATAGGGCATTTGTCGGGTTCATGTTGAAAAACTAGATAGTCGGCCATATTGCCGAGTGTACAGAAACATAAATGAGCTTCATCAACAAAACATGTCCGAGTAGTATTTTGACACACTTGATGATAGTATTTAACTTTTTTGATTGAATACATGCGAGCTACTGTTTCATTAACTAGCTCATTAACATGCGGACAGCGATGTGATGGTAAAACAATTGTGTTGATATTTATTATATTCAGCTGTTTAATAATTCCTGCCAAATAATAGTCGACTTGAAATGGCGTGAAAAATATTCGAACAAAAATGAATGGAGGCAAATATGTTTGTTTTCCGTTGGAAACCAGAAGTCTCTTACCAACAGATACTTGTTTGAACATGAAATGATTCTGAGTAAAGAGAACGCCTAGTGTTTCGTTTCGTAGTTCGAGAAAATAGACAAATACGACTGGTAATAATAAATCTCGACCGATCGGGAAAAGATCAAAACTCATTTGAGCACTGGAATGCTGACAAAATGTTCCAAAAAATTCCTTTAGACAAGAGCAAACAAAGTTTCTATGGAGACGTTCATCGAGTGGCACGCATATACCGCCATTTTTGCATGTTACTCCCTTGCATGGATCAAATAGAGCATAGAAATCCACACCTAAGTAGCCAAGCGGACAGATACAAAAGGTAGCGTTATTTTGAACAAAAAATTTCCCACCGTGTGCGCATGTCGATTTTGAATAGCAAATGCTTGTTCGATCACAATATTTACCAATCCAACCTTCTTCACACTGGCAATAGTCATTGTGAGGCGCATTCAGATATGTCTTACGTGTGCCATGTACACATGACAGTGAGCTGCATAAATTCTGATCGACAAGTGTCAAGTGCAGAGCAAGTCGGCTAACAGGCAAAAAAGCTAGCTTTACATCGAATGACCACGATGCTTTGAAAGAAACCTCTGATCATCTAGCCGAATATGCGTCGATGCGAACAAACCAATGTCTGCCTTGCTTTGGTGGTGGACGAGGATAGAGAAGATAGAAGAAATACTTTTTTAACGGTGTATGAATCATTTGTTCACTATCGACAATCTCATATTGGTCATTCAAGAGATAGACAATTAGTTTAACGAACTCCGACTGCTGCTCTTTGGTTATTAGACTGATTGGACTATCGATTCTTAGAATTACTGTGACTCGTTCAGACTAGAATTGACATTTGTCACCATAGTAACTAGGCGGACATAAACAAGTTTGACTGGTGTTTGATCCTCTCGTATTGATAATAATGCCACGATTACAATAATGAAAATTCGTAGTTGCGGTCTGGTCACGAGTTATGGGCCGATATATATTGTCTTGCTCATAGTTTTTCTCCGTCAAAAGGCGTTGGTGAGACCATTGGTGATCATTTGCAGATAGTACTAATGGATACTCATCAATAAAGTTGAGAGAGAACTGCACGAACTTTTTCTTATAGTTTAAATCGCAAAACCATTCATCTTCGCCCTCCGCAGGACAGTCGATGATATTATCGCACCTTTTCTTGATTGGAATGCATTGTCCATCAAAACAGGTAAACTCACAATAAAAAGACTGGTACGGACATAAGAACATGTGATTGTCACACCAAATACCGTCGTGTGAACAAAGTTTGTCAACGGATAGACAATCTCCATCAGAACATTGATAATCCCCACGGCGAGTACAAGTATCTGTTGTTCGCTCGTCCGTATTACCATAACAATGACTGTGATTGTCTCCAGCTTTTATCATGTCGAGACAGCCTAGTTCTATTCGATTCAGTCGAGCGCAATAGTGCTGTGTTGCATTACATCCTGCAATATCTCGAATGTATGCAACTGTAGTTCCAGGACAATCAAGTTCATCTTGTCCATTTGGCTCATCCCAAACGTTGTCACATTGTTTATATCGCTGTTTATAGGCGACTGGCCATTCTTCACACGATGTTTTATGTGTTTCTCCATCCAAAACAAGATATTGTCTTGTTGTTAAACTGTTGCAATTGTCCTGAAATAAATAATAAACTGAAGGATACCTATCGTCGCCACGAATGAACTGACAAGCGAGATCGGAAGCTTTTTGACATTGTCCAATGAATAACTCATCCGATTTATCGTCACATAATCCGCGATCTCGACCAAGCATGACAAGTGGAATGCATTGCATGGTTGTCAGGCATTTATAACGATCAGTCAATTTTAAATCAGTGCACGAATATGTGAAATTATTCTCTTCAAATTCATCGTCACTAAAAGCTCTAGCACTCTGATATTCATCATAATAAACACAGTCCATATGCCCATCGCGAAGTCGGCTCTTTGAAATGAACTTTTGAGTTCTGTTGCAGTAGAAATGATTGCTATTGTTCTTCACTAAGACTGGCGTGATCATCGAACAGCCAGCAAATATATTACATAATATTTTATTCATCTCAGGCCATGAAATGGTCGGATCTTTCCTCATACAGGTTAAATTTTTGGCTTCTAGGAAGATATGTTTATCATTGTACGAAAAATTGGGGCACAGGTCGCGCCTATAGCAGAAATAGTTCGGAAGCATCCAAACTCTATCAAGATCATAACGGATGTTGTGATATAGATACTGCACAAATGGATATAATGGATTATTAAACGCTTGAAAAAAGAAACTTTTGCCACAATACTGAATCATTTTTTCATATACGTAGAAACAGTCGCTTAAATCGTCATATGGATCACATTCTAGAACGTCACAGTGATCGATATTGAAATAGACAAGACAAGTCATGGTGAACCAACAATCATAGCTTAGATTAGAAAAATTAAATGATTGAAGACTTGCTTCATATAATCGATTGCGTCCACTTTGACAGTATTTTTCATCATCATTCGACGAATGTATATTTACAAACTGTCCATCGCCACATGAAAAGTACCTGGCATTACAAGAAAGCTTCTCACAGTGTGCATCGAACTGGAAAAAACAATTTTTATTTAAGATCAGCGTGTCAAGTTGCGACTGTTCATCACTCTGGTCCATGCAATCATAGTGAAAATCAATGAAAAAGCTTCTTGGTATACACATACCATTTCGACATCGATATTCTTTTATTGGATCACATTCATTCAACTCGAGTTGAAGACATTCCATTGGTGGCTCATCTTCGCCATTTTCACAGTCGCGATGGTTGTTGCATATCTGACGCCAGTCGAGACAAATCGTTGAGTTACAACGAGGTATCCCTGTGTCACAGGTTAATGGTGCTGACTGAAGAGAAACTTTCGTATCAGAAAATGACTTTCTTTCACTGAATTGAAACTGAATCATTCTATCAAGAGATTCGTCAAGATAAAATGTGCAGAATTTCCCAAACCAATTATCTATACCACAAAAAATTATAAATCAAACAGTATTGCTGGAGATAAATACTGATGCCAATAAAAAGATATTCAGACTAGTTAATCGCGGATGCAGTTTTTACTGAGCAAGTATATGACAGCTTCTTGTTTTATGGCTAGTCCTTTTCGGATGAGCGGGATTCATTGAGCTATCAGCTGTTATGAGTTCATTTCCGCTGCGTCCAGAAAACAAGACATTTTGTTCTGCTGTTGAATCAGATTATCCGCTTCTGCTCATCTCAAAAATGCGAGATTCTGACTTCCATCCACATATGTGAAAAAAAGCTGCTGCAAACCTAATTCTAAGCTGACGTTTTTGGTCTCTCATTATTTCACATAGCTGTGACTCGTATATTTATATATGAAGGGCAGAAGCAGCAGGAATAAGGAAAGGACAATATAAGGTTTCGAGCGAATATTTCAGTAGTCATTATATCTGTTAGGAAATGTCTTACCAGTGCAATGACAATAAGTTTCATCAGATATTAATAATGAATCGTTGTTGAACGACAGATATTTTTCGTATCTTTTGGTGGTATCGATCGGTGCGGACCACTCGTACAGATCGAGGCTCATAACGTTAAACTGTTTCAGCTGTGAAAATTTTATCTCGTTGCCACAACATCTTTTCTCTTCAAGATCACTATCAATTGTTGATGCTGTGGTTCGTCATATACAGTAAGAGATTACTTCCCATATGTTTTCATCACTGTTTGACCGATCTACATAAAGACAATCGCGATTATCTTTCCAATTGTCATCTGTGCTGTACAAACGATTTGGTAGTCCTGCTACTGATATCCAAAAGCTGCCATGGAACAAGCACTCGAGCAGCATCATTTATACACTTGACAAAATGAAGCAATTGTAAAATTAAATTCAATCCTAGTTTTACTGTTTTTTAGTTTTAACGAGCGACAATATCATTTTTTTTCTATATTTATTCAACTATAGAGCAAAAGTAAAGCATATGAAACGCTCCGAATGAAATTCAATCTAGTTGTTGATACTCTATATTATCTCAATTGTTTTGACAAATATTGTTAGGCAGTATAAGTACGTGTCTTATTGTGAAATTAACAATTGATTTAGCAGAATAAATATTAAGCTAGACTACGGAAAAAAAGTGATTCAAACGTCACGTTTGCAAAAAGATTAATCTAATAAAAGCAATAAACTTGTTTTTTCTTACAATTCCTATTTTACGATGCACACGTCTATTGGAAACTGTACTGAATCACTATAAACACAGAGGGTGCGGGTGTAGGATGTGGGTGTAGGGTGTGCGTGTGGGGTGTGGAAGGGTGTGGGTGGGTGTGACTAGGCTGTGGGTGGGTGTGGGTGTGCGGGTGTGGTGTGGGGATGGGTGTGGGTGTATGGGTGTGGGTGGGTGTGGCTAGGGTGTGGGTGGGTGTGGGTGTGCGGGTATGGTGTGGGGATGGGTATGGATGTGTGGGTGTGGGTGTGAATGTGGATCTAAGAGCCGAGTAGACACACACCCACACCCATACCCACACCCACACCCACACCCCACACCCACACCCCACACCCACACACCCACACCCACGCCCACACCCACACCCACACCCACACCCACACCCACACCCACACC